GTTTGTGGTTTTTATGACCAGAACAGTATTCTGAAATTTCTTAAAGCTGTACAGAAGCTAAATAGTTCATCTTCTTTTACTCTTAAAATGTTTTGCTTAATCCTATAACTAAATAGCGCAGTCTGGTTCTTGCAGTCTGAGCAGGACAGTATAACACGCAACCTAAATAAGCAGGAATGCTAGAATTCCTCCCCAGTCCTTACTCCTCATAGAAAGAAGCAGTCAGACTCTACAGAACAATGGCAACAGAATTACTCAGAAGAGGCATATGCATAAATTTTCTAAAATGTATCTCCTGATTTAAAAGAAACATTTTAGTATCAAGATTTATTAGTTTCAAAAGAGGTCCTGCATATACAGCAACAAAAAGACTTGCTTGGAAAAGATTATGACTTTCAGCATTTCAAGGAACCAGGCGGTCAAGATTAATTTCTGGTTTGTAACAGATACTTTGAAGCTGAATAAGCAGGAGAAATAATTGAAAAGAGCCATTCTGATTTAATGGTTTAACCTGATCATTTATTATTTATCCCGCTTATTCTGAGGCTAATACCATCTTCCCTGTAATTGCATCAAGACATGCTGTTCTAACATGCTACAGCTGGCGAGGCTGTGCGTGCACAGTCAGATTTTCCTCGCGCGTTTGTAACCAAACATATGTACTGATTCAGTTATCACTCTGAGTCACAATGGTGGAGAATCTGGGAATGGGGATGATACTGGTCTGTTAGAGCTGCAAAGCTGGGAAGATTCAATTCATAGGCAGCAGAAATCCAGATCACATTATCTGAGCGTTCCGTAGATACTTCTTCCACCAGTACACCAGCAGCAGCATGATCTGGCATTCAAGACTAATAGAACTGTGGACTATGAGAAGGGTAGCACAACACTGAAATGGATTATTCAAAATAATCCTGGTTTCAAAAGAGAAAATTATCCCCCAATTTTATTAAATGTGCTATCATCTCTTACAGATCAAATGTGACCTTTAAGCTTTTCAGGACTCCGGATTTCCACGATTTGCAGGAGTATCGACATGTGGGATGAGATCACACATGTGTGGTACCAGTAAACATTTTCTGTCTTCTTTTCCAATAGAAAAAAGTTTCCAAATTGATATTCACTTCAGTTTCACACTCCTGAGTTCTTGTATCAAGCCAGTATTTAACCTGTCTGCTAAATAATATTGAAGACCAGGATTTGAGAAAGTGCTTTCTTTTTTTCAACAATTTTGATTTATTTTTGCCTACTCTACATGAAAGCAAACTATAGTTTCTACTTTAATGTAAACATTTGTTACTTTTTAAGAGAATTTGAAGATGCTTCTAAAAGGTTTGAAAATCTTAAACAACACTAAAATCTTAATCCAGACATTGGTTTTGTATGTTCGGAGCCTTCAACTCTAGCTGTAACAATTTTGGCTTAACATGACACTTAACTCAGCAACTGTTTTCACTTGAGTCAATAAAAATCATGAATGCAGCTTGGCTGGAGACAGAGAAATTGAAGGATGTGGAGACAGCAGACCTCTTGGTACTTAGCTATTGTGCTGAGACTCAAAGCTGCGGATTAATTAATTGTGCTCACATGGTGGCAGGACAGCACTTTGGCCATTTCAGTAGCTCTTTGGAAGACTACAGAGCGAAACAGGCAGCACCAGCAAAAAAAGAAGGTGTGTAATTTCTTTCCCCCAACTTTGTTGCTTGTCTAGAATCGAGCCTTGCAAATACTTCCCACTTTCCCAAATGGATTGCTGAGAGCTGGGAAGTGCTGAATGCAGCGCTGTGCAGGATCAGAACTTTTGGCAGGACTCTTTGGTGCAAAAAACTTCTTTCACAAGAATAATAAAACCCAAGAGATCATGTGAAGGTGAAGTATGGGTGGAAACAGCAAGAATATTTTGGGGTTTACTCAGAAATCCAGCCTGTAAAAGACGATCAAACAAACATCCAGCAAGTAAATGAAGCAGAAGTTACTAACAACTTGCTTTAAGCTGGTATTTGGATGATTTGCTGACAGTTCCGGGTCCCTTTTTTGGCATAAAATTACTTTAGCATATGTACTAGGCAACTGCTTTCCTAAATTTTAGCCGTGCAAGCTGTGACACCTTCCTTCTAATAAGTAAGAGACAAAGGCGCTTACGGCTGTGCTTCAGATAAAGAGCTTGTTTAAGTGCTTCTCTGGATCAGGGCCAGAAAACCCCGCTCCTCACTGCATCAAGCTGGTACGCAAGCTGTACTCTTCATGCTTTATTTCTGCCGGCTACATTGCTTGCAATGATTACCTATCCTCCCACCTGCAGGAAACTATATCTGTTTCAAAGCCTCAGAGGCTCTCATAAAAACAAATTATAAATTATATTATTGCATCTCTGCAGAGCCTTTCTTCCTAAATAATCTTGTAAGCTGAAATACGGTATACATCATATTGTGCATGCATGTGCAAACGTGTATACTGGAGGCACTGGAGAGCAGGGCTTGCAACTAACCATCAAAGGGGCATTACAGTTAAGGCTACCATGAAAAGAGAAGATAAATTTTTTATTTACTTTTATTAGGTCATAAAATCTGGTTGCTGGAAGCTTGCTGTCAAGATGCTGAGATTCTGATGCTGTTTGTTTTTTTCTTCAGTCCTCAAATGCGATTTTCCCTCATGGCTCAGTTCGGTAAGGTAATCCAATTCAAGCATTTCAGCCTACAGAGCATTCATCTCAAATGAAGAAATGCTTCTGTGTGGGCACAATAGATCATTAGACTCTTCTTTCTGACAATTCCTACTTTAGCATAAGTGCCTGTGATTTATTCACTCATTTATTCACGCTGCAGTGTAAAACACTCATTCCTTTTCTTTCTGGTTTCGAGCACCCAGAGTATTTCTATGTCTTGATTACAGTTGTAACTCTGCCTTTCACCGTACAGAAATGTAGTAATTGCTCAACTTCAATTTAATTAACCTATTATATTGACCTTATTTTCCATGTAGCCTGCTTTAGATTTCCAGTGCTGTGACTTTATGCCTCCTTAATTTGTGCATGAAATTCTTTACCCTTCCTAGCACATGTGCGTGCACAAAATCTGCAAAGTAGACTTTGTGCAAAGAAGGTGGCATGAATCAAAGGAGATAGCTGATTTCCAGCCCCCACACATGACTTGGTTCCCCTGGAATCACATCCAGCTCCTCCTGAAGTTCACTATCAACTTCTCTGTGTACTAATCTTGATGAGGACCAGCATCAGAAGCAAAAATCCACCATACCTGCCTCCCCAGCAATAAAGTTAGCCCTTCTGTAAACCTAATGCAAATGACTGATGACACTGTTGAATGTTCTGGTTTAGGGTCAAAAATGTGAGTCCTTTGAAAATACTATTTCATCGAAGCTGTTATAAAACTTCCTTTGCAAAAAAAGCTATTGCTGTTATTTGCTAAGCAAGAAGACCGCAACTCCTCACCAGCCCAAACACTCAGTCACTCACTTCTGTCAAGAGGAGTGATGCCAAAGGGCACTTTGCCACTAGCCTGACAGATCAAGGCACGTGATTGTTCACCGAGGCACATGACGGTTCACTGGGAGAGCCAGGACAGGAATTTTTCCCACACTAGCCCCAAGCACAAATCTCAGCATATGCCCAAGTTGACATTTTTGTAATTGATGGAGAGTAACATAGTTTAGAAGGCACCTACAAACAATACAAACCCTTCCAACGTTGTTGATAGTAACTGAAGAGTTTCAGAATTTAAGCCCAAGCCTTCACTAATGAATATTATCACTTAAGTTAAATAATAAAAAAAGCAAAACCAGACAGAATTTCTACCTAAAGACTGCCAGTTAAACTCCAAGGAAAATACCCAATCAACCATTTAGCTGCAATGAGAGAGAACCTTATGCCAAATGTTATCATATTCATGGCTAGAGAAAAAGTTGCAAGTGTTACATCACTTTGTTTCTTATTGTTGCTTCACATGTAGTGCCATTTGGGAAAACTGTTTGCTTGGTTTTGTTCCTACTGAAAGAGGGTCTTTTTGTGATCTCATCATTATTCTTTACACTGAATATTTGTGATGATATTCATTTTATCCTAAACTGAAAATATAAAACCAGCATGGAAAAATCAGACAGCACTTGCCCTCACTTGCACAAACTTGAAGTTTCTGAAATGTGACTCACTTTTTTACTTTGCACTAGAATTTCAGTCTTAACAAGGTTTAAAAAAGACAGTACAACAGATATTTCAACAATTTTGTGTGAGAAAAGTCAGTGTCTGGGGTTTAACATTGGTGGGAAGATACAGTAAGTGATTTTCTTGTTTCAACTCAAACTAAGCATAAAAGCCACTTGTAAAGGCCCCGAGTTTTTACTTACAGGCAACACTTCAGAACAGCAGGAAAGGATGTTCTTCTGGCAGATTTGAAAACAACAGGGAAGGATGTTCTTCAGACAAATGTGAAGCTTTTGCTGCATTTTCGTCTACAGCACTGCCTGCCTCGCTCGCGCTACCAGCTTGGCTGTTTTCTAGGGGCTGCAGGAGCACGCACATCTTGAAGACTGGGCACTACAACAGCGTTAACCACTCGAAATGCCTGAGACGCGGGTTTTTTTGTGTTTGATTTTTTTTTTTTTTTAAATTCCAGACGGTTTCCCCGACGACCGGCACTTTGTTACAAGCCCACAGGGCCTCTCTCCCTTCGGTCGCTGACGAGGCGCGGAGAGCCGCCATGGGGGGGGGGGGGACGGACGACGACACGACTGACTGCAACAGCCCCCTCCCAGGCCCCGCTCTGGGCAACCGAACCTCCGAGCCGCGGCTTAAGTTGCCCCTGCGGTGAAGCAGGCCCCTGCGCCCATCATTTAGCGGACTGTAACGGAGGATGACCGACGGCGGACGGGATCCCCCCGGAGCGGGAACACCGTCCCCTCACGGCCTGAGGGGAGCCACCGCCCGTGGGCGGGGCCGAGGGCGGGAGCTCGGGCGCCTGCGCGCTGCCACTCACACCGCGCCCGGTGAGTGACGCGAGCGCGGCGCGCGGCCCCTCCCCTCACGGCCCGCCATGAAGGCGACGCCGCTTTCCAACTGCGAGCGCCGCTTCCTCCTGCGCGCCATCGAGGAGAGGAAGGTGCGGCGCCGGCTTCCTCTTCTTCCCCTTCCCTAATCCCCCTCCCCGCCCCGCGGGGGGCGGCTGGCGGGGCTCTCCCCTTGCCGTTGCCCGGCGGAAGGCCGGAGCCTCGCCGCCCACCCCCCCCCCGGCAATGGCGCATTAACCGTGTGTGTCTTTCTCTCTGTGGGCCCTCAGCGCCTGGACGGGCGGCAGTGCTATGATTACCGGAACGTGCGCATCTCCTTCGGCGCCGACTACGGCTGCTGCATCGTGGAGCTGGGGAAGACGAGGTGAATGCGGGGTTTGGGGGGGCTCGGCAGGCGTCGGGTTGCGGGCAGGCCGCGCTGCCCATGGCGGCCTGAGGAAAGCCTTTCAGGCGCCTCTGTCGTTCTGGCTTTAAAGCGTTACGTGTCCAAACCCGCGGAAGCGAAGGGAGTGCATGGCGTTGAATGTTAGGCGTCTGAAAGCCCGCTGAGATCCCAGTAAACAGGTTTTAAGGACTGGAGCCTAAAAGTAGCTTCTCCTTTACAGGAGAAAAAGTGGGAAGGGAAGGGATGGGGTTTCCGTGTTGATTGTAGATTACAAATAATTTATAAAATAATACAAAATGGTTATAATTTTTCATCCCTTTATTCGCTGATCTCAGGTTACATTTTGCATCCTTCCACAAATTAAACGGCCTTTTTTTGTATGTGGAAAAGTGGCTTATATGCACTTAGGTAAACATTTACTTACAGATTCTCGGGTGTTTGAGCCTTATTTTTAATGCTAAAAGGCAGGAGGATGCTCTGATTTCTACATTTGATTCTCCCAACTGTTGACGGGAGTTTAAATACATGTGACAGGCATTGAAACAGAAACTGTCAGGAGTGAGAAATACAAACTGAAAGCTTCAGCACGTACTTTTTCAAAACATGTATTTGGTTCGTAGTCGTAGGAGTTTTTTTCTGCTAAATGCTGTGACTTAGCGGTTTGTTTACCTTTGCAGGGTTCTTGCACAAGTCTCATGTGAACTTGTTCCCCCCAAGCCAAATCGGCCCACAGAAGGTATACTTTTCTTTAATCTTGAGCTCTCACCGATGGCTGCCCCTGGTTTTGAGCCTGGCAGGTATGTAGTTTTCTTGAAAAGACTAAGCCAGGACAACATAAGAGCCACTGTTCTGATACATGTAAGTATATAGTGTAATCATACTCAGTTTGGGTTAATTTTGTTTTAACAGGCAATCTGAGTTACTGGTGAAACTGAACAGACTAATAGAACGATGCCTGAGAAATTCCAGGTGTATAGATACTGAATCTCTTTGCGTTGTTGCTGGTGAAAAGGTATGAAAACCTACTGATTTCAAGTGGCTTTAAACTAAAAGATACATATAGTCTGTTTTTAAGGTGGTCTCTCTCTTGTTTTGGAAACCAGAAATTCTGATTTTAGGTTAATGTAAAGATCCACACATCTGACTTTACAGGTATTTTTAACTCGTGTATCTACATAGGCTTTCTGAAGTAGTTGGGACCCTGCGCACTTGAATATTTCTTGGCAGAATAAAGTTTAAATTGTACTTTAGAGTTAACGTATTTTGTCATAATTAAATGTAGCATACTGGGTATCTTGGAACGTACCGAGATCTTTCATCTTCTTAAGCAAAGACCTGAAGAATATATGCTGGTTCCTCCTATGGTTTGAAAAATTAAATTGTTTTGGAAATCAGTAACTTGTGTAGAATCATGTCACAAATTACCAAGTAGTTATGTATGCTTTTTCTCAGGTTTGGCAAATTCGTCTGGACCTGCATCTGTTAAATCATGATGGTAACATTATTGATGCTGCTAGCATAGCAGGAATTGTAGCTCTGTGTCATTTTCGCAGACCAGACGTGTCTGTGCAAGGAGAGGAAGTAACTGTGGTAAGTTGCACCGGATTATAATAAGTAGTGTGGCATCGCGGCTAGCTGTTTCTTTCTGTCTGAAAGGGAGAAGTAAATGTTTGTGTAAGCAGATAAACTCCAAGATAGTTAAGTTTTAGGATAGATGTGTTGCTGTTTAAAATGTGAAAGGATAGTAAGGAAGCCCGCTGAATACAGCCTCAGTGTATGGGAATATTAATTGTAAAAGATAAGTATTTTACAGTATTTCGACCAAATCAAGCATAAGGCTGATGAATGTGCTATATTTAACTACGTAGGTAGTAAACAGTGAGAATTGCACAAGAAGAGTAAAAAGTTTTTAATATTTAGATGACTAAACATTTGTTAGCCTTTTTTTCTTTGTTTTTTTATTTCTTTAACTATCTTTGTACAGAGCATAACTTTAAAATTAAATGTGTTTTGTAAATAATTGTCTTCTGGGCCAATTCTTTTCAAAGTATGCTCCTGAGGAACGTGATCCTGTCCCCTTGAGTATCCACCACATGCCTATTTGTGTCAGTTTTGCCTTCTTCCAGCAAGGGTAAGATTTTTAAGTTTTTTGACAGGAACAGCTTATTGTAAATCTGCAGAATTGATTTTAAACATAGAAAAGCCCTAAAAGCATTTGTATTGACAAGCTGATTTCTTACGACATTTTGTCTGAAATGAGATGCTATGGGGAGATATTTACGTGTTCTGCACAGTGTAACTAACCAGCTAGCTTTCCACAGATGATGTAGAAAGCTTTCTGGGGGGAGTAGACCCATAATTTCTAATACGTAAACCAATTCCTTTGTTTAATTGTTTTAAGGGTAGTAACTCACCTCAAACTTTTACTGTTGCCTTATATTTAAAAACTTGATTCTAGGACCTATTTATTGGTGGATCCAAGTGAACGCGAGGAACGTGTAATGGATGGCCTCCTTGTAATTGCCATGAATAAACATCGTGAAATTTGTACCATCCAGTCCAGTGGAGGGATTATGCTGGTAAAGGATCAGGTAAATCTTTGCTTTGACCACTCTTTCTCTCATATAAAAACTCATTCCTGTGCTATAATCTTGATACTGAAATATCCTTGACATTGGAAGCTAAGAAATCAATTACCTGTCGGATTTAATTGGAAAAGATGATGTATTTTCAGTCCTAGTGGAAGAGTGTAGTACTGTGCATCATGCTGAACAAGAAACGTAGAAAAGGTGTATTGCTTGGTCAGATATGCATCTTTTTTTTTCCCCCGTGATTTGGCTGAGGGAGTCTGTAAATTAATTCAGACTGCACTCACATGAGTAGCTAGAGGCTGTTGTCTTCTACCTTTCGCATCAACTCATAGTGTATCCAGTCCCTCATACTAAGATGCCATATTTTATTTTTGTGTTTGTGACTCCTATGATGTTCTACAGTTTTAGTTAAAAACATCTTGCTTTCATGATCGTAAACTGTTGTTGTATGTATAACAAACAGGTTCTGAGATGCAGTAAAATAACAGCTGTTAAGGTTGCAGAAATAACGGAACTAATCCAAAAAGCCTTGGAGAATGACCAGAAGGTCAGGTGAGTGTTTTGGGAAAGAAGGGAAGTGGGCATTTTTAAGAAACATGCTGAGAAGTAATATCAACCTCTAGTTTGCACAGCAAATTATTTTCACTTGTATTTGTTTTAAATAGCAAGTATTTGTATATTTGAACTTGAAAAGAGAAAGCATTTTTAAGTGTGAAACATCCTGAAATAATGTCTGTCACGGAATGACTAGGAAAGAAGGTGGCAAGTTTGGCTTTGCAGAATCTATACCAAATCAAAAGATCACCGCCTTCAAAATGGAAAGCGCTGCTGTCAATACTAACAATGTGGAAGAACAAGCAGAAGAAATCATCACTAAAGCTGACCCTCCTTCAGAAGTGTATCTTTTCTGTTGTATTATTCAGGGGAAACCCAGGCTTCCCATCCCCTGCATTAGCACTACTTAGAGGCTAAACACACATCCAAGATTGCTCACAGCTTAGGTAGCCTTACAGCCTTCAGAGGAAGCATCAACATCGTATTGGGTTTGGTTCTCACTGCTTTTAGGTAACCTAATTCCTAGTGTAAAGTGCACACCTGAGGTCTGAAGTGACTGATTGTTACAGTAACTGGAGATGTAGTACTCTCTCTCAACTCCCCTTTAAGGATGTTCTCCCCTGGGGAGAAAAGGTACAGCTTAGAAAACACCTGGTTTGCTCTCAGAATACACAGAGTTTACCAGCAAACACCAAGATTTTTCTTAACTACTTCAGTTTTGCCAAACCAATATTGCACACTCCAGGGACAGCCCAAATTGGGGAAGGAATAGAGAACTCCTGGGGAGACCTTGAAGAATCTGAGAGGGAAGAAGCAGCAGAAGAGGAAAGTGAAAGCGAGGCTGCTGCTTTTGAATGTCAGACAGTGGAAACCGAGGATACAAGTACAATGACGGAAACTAAGAAGGGTAAGTATTTATTTATCTTGATATCTGATATGCTTTATTAGTAGTCTACAATTGAAATGTGAAAGAGGTCCATAGCAAAAAAGGAGAACTATCTAGCCTCTTTCCATTTGAGAGTTAAACCCATTTGCTACTTTCACTTCATCAGGTTACTTCTGTTTTCTTCAAAAGAAGACTTGATTTCTGTAGTATATGGAGAGCTCCAAATTAAGCACTAGCCACTCTGAATGTTTCTTTAAAAATGCTGTGGTTATTAGTTACAGAAGTTGTTAGTACAGAACTGATCACCGATTTATGGTTTTTTTTGTTTGGTTGTTTTTTTAGATGAACCTATTGTACTGTCTGACAGTGAAGAGGAAGAAGTTGTCATTCTGGAACCCCAGGAACTACCAAGGAAAACAAGGTAACCATCACGTGAAATTAAGAGGGGAACAGAGTTTGTAAGGAGTATTTTCAGGAAGCGGAGGATTTTGGCAAGGCCAGGAAAGGTCTCAGTTGATCAAGGGGACTACACAGATAGCCAGGAGTGAGGAAGTTTAAAGCTAGGCTAGTTTGCTCCTGTCCTAGCAGCTGTCTGAAACAGTTACAGATATTTGACTAACCTTAATCACTCCAAAGAGAGTGAGAGCATAAAAGTGGATTTGAATCAGCTGCTCCTTAGAGATGCTGCAGAGATTTTTACACAGTATGCTACAGGTAATCCTAAGTTTTAACTCCAGGAAGTTAATTTATTGCTGTATACCTGCATGAGACATGGAAGCCCTCATTGTCATGTGGAGTACGTTTTCTAGAAACTAAGTTTGAACTTTGCACCAAGTGTGGTGGATGGTTGCCCTGTTACAGATTATCAGCCTGTGTTCTTTTGAAATAAAACTATTCAGTACGTTTCTTTGATACAAATGTTGTTTGCTCACAGAACACAGACCAACTTGAAACAAGAAAATACAAGTAAGAAGGCATTTACTAAAAGGAGAAGAAAGAAGAGAGCTGCTTATTAAAGCCATCGTCCCTCTTTCTGAAATGCTGTATAATACATAATTTGATCTATCATTATTGAACTTATTTTTGTAGATAATTTTATTTCCTCCCACCCCACATCTGGTCCTGCTTTTATGTATATTTTATAGACGTGTTGTACACAGCTTTAAATAAAAATTTGCACGTAAGTGAAATTCCATGGTTAGCATCAAGCTGAAGCAGAAAACTCACTAGTTCAACTTGAACTGACTCAAGTTCTATAGCTTTAATTGCAGAGGTAAGATGCATTGTTTTCTTAACAGAACAGCCTCTGCCATTACTGAAGTGAGCTGTGCATAGTCAGAGTTCTGGTGATAAAAGGAATCATGGCTCAAGCTTAACACCTTAGGAAATGCTTCTTTTAATTAAGGTAGCTATTGCCACACCTTGGAATGTTCTTCACAAAGGGAAATAGTATGCTGTGACTAAGACCAGCTTGCCCACATCACTCCCCATCTTGCTTTTCACTGAAACTGCTTTGTGTAAAGATCAGCAGAAATGCCTGTACTTAACAAAATAGCGTAGAACTTCTGAAAAACTTTCAGAGAGAAGCAACTCATACTCAACAATAGAGTTTCTTAAAAAGTTTAATTAAATATTACATGCAACAGACAGGAATGCTTCTTGAACTATATTCAAAGAATTATGCTCTGATTTTAGAATCCGGGAAAACCAAGAGGCAAGGAGGCTTCCAAAAATATCTGGCCTAGCTGCTTTGTTCAAAAACCAAATCAAATTGGAAACACACACATATTTACACAAGCACAGGACTATTTTACATGTGACCTTAGTATTTTGTGAAATACGAACAGGAGAGAAGTTACTGTTCCAGATAGAATTACATTCCCCAAATCAGATTTAGAATTTAATGGGGGGGCATGGGAAATGCTCCCAGCCAAGCAAAGCTTTAATCATGTTGTGCTCTTTCAGAAAGGGACAAACACAGAAAGCCCCATTCCTCCAGGAGCTAAACCAGTGTGTTCGTTTCTTAGTGTCAGTTCTTCCACCTGAAAGTCACTGTCAGGAGTACAAGGATGAGTGAAGATTGAGTTTCTTCTTAATTCTGCAGTACCATGAGACCTTGGAATGTCTTCAGGAAAAAGAACAGTATTCTTTGCACTGCTTTTTCTCTCTTCACACGTAACATCTCACACCCTACATTCCTTAGAGGCTTTATTTTGAAAGCACTAGAAGTTCAACTGGATTGGCAAAACAGTAGTACAGTACAACCTGGGATATTTTGTTCCAAGCTTAGTAACAAGAGCTGGAATCGTCCCATGTTAACTTTGGAAAATGAGAAGATAGAAAAAGATGGTACTTACTGCAGCAGCGAGAGCTGTTGGTGAGGAAGGAGGAAGATAGCCTGGGCAGAGATGCCAGGCCATGACTGAAGCATTTTTTTTAGGCCTGTAGAGGAAGTCGTATCAGTATGTTCAAAGTAAAGCTCTGGGAGCAAGGGAAAATTTTTCTCGGTGCTATGGGAACACTAACAGAACAACTTCCATTGAAAACAGAGCAAGGAGACATTTCATAAAGAAGTAAATATAAACCATTGAAGTCCTTTCACTTAAGTACTGTGCTACTTGCTTTTTTCCAGGAAAAATAATTTGTAATCTTCCTTTAAATTGCTCCTCTTCCAGTGTTCGTATTTCTGTGGTTTTGGAAAGTTTCCAGCATATGTCACAAAATCTAAGAAGGGTAAGGCAGAACCCAGTTGTGCAAGAAGAGTGCCATGCTCTGTAGTCTTCAAAGAATAATTGCCAGTCAGCATTTTGAGTTGCCCTTCCCAGGTCACAAACTGACTTCATAACTGTGGCAAACGTGTTCTGTATATACAAACTCCCTGTCCTGCAAGGTTAGAGCCTTACCAATACTAAGCACCAGACATGATATACAGCATTAGGTTTTTTCCCAACTAGCTTTCGGTTTTCAGTGGCAACCTACTGAAATTAAGCTAAATAAAGGCTGTTGGAGAACATGGTAGACCAATGAAATAACAGTTCTTCATTAAACATTAGAACATATATAAAAGTCAAAGTGCATCCTAAAAAGCTCAAATTGGCCAAAAAAGGCAGCCTCTGCTGCTTACTTTTGTCTTGACTGGGTAAGCCACCACCACTTGATCACTTTTGTAACTGAGTTGGTTCATGGAGAGCTCAGACTTGCAGCACAGGGGTGGGGGCAGAACAGCAAGTTTGTAGCAACTGAGTCAAGACACACATTGTCTCACTATAATGCATGCTTGTCAGCTTGACAAAGGACTGATTTTTAAAAATTCATTTCAAATAGCCCACACCATGACAGCTGTTTGACACCTGTGAAGAATTTATACTGCTACCTGCCAGGCATCCAGATAACCAGACGGACAGTGTCAAATCAACTTCAGGTTGAAGCAGCGCAGGTTTCACAGGGCAGCCTTTGCCAAAAAGCTTTAGAAATGAATGCCAGTTCAAGATGGTAGTACCACCCCTCAGCGGTTTTAAGGTATCGGCAAGACCACTAACATCAGATGTAAAAACTGTTTATTAGCCAACCTGGAAATGGCTTGATTAAACCCACTTGCATGCACTCACTGCTTTACATGCAAAGAACAGCGGGTACAGGGCAGCATCACCCCATTTACACAGGTTGAAGGTAAACATTCACTTGATCTAATGCTGACTATGTGCTAGTTTGCTCATGTAAGGGGTCTAGAACTAAGGAAAAATAAGACCAGTTGGTCTACATTTTTGCCGTGTGCCACAGAGGAACCCTTCCCAAGAGGGATGTACAGAATTCATACCATTCTGCATGTAGCCCATCCCCGCCAGAAGACATTCCTTCCTCTTGAGGGCACAAAGCAGTAAGTAGTTCACCCTCCTGCAGTTTAATCCCTCTGCTGCCCCTGCAGAGGTACCAGGTAAGCAGACTGATGACTGTTTATTTTTTTTAGTAGATACTGATGGGCTGTCAGGCCAGCTAACACATCAGTGGGAACTCCATGGGTTTAAATTAATGCCAGTTTCACACTTCGACTAGAAAATGCCTATAGCAAGACCATTTCCTATGTACTGGAAGAGAGAAGTATGAACTGGTATACTAGTTTTAGCTGCTTACAGTCCCTGGAGCAGAGCGTTCAACCTTTAACCTGATGGAGATCGGGCAATACACGACATAGCAATCAAGGCTTCCAGTAACTGGCATATCCTAAGGAGCCTCACAAGAGTCAGTTCCAGCAAGGTGTTGTCAGAGCTATATAGTTTTGTTTCTTCCAGTATTATAGCCATTAAGCCACATTTTGGATCTATACTAAGTCTCAGTTTAAACTAGACAGTACAAAAATGCTACAAATACTGATGTGGATTCCAAGTCATTCTTACTTGGAGGGAGAAAAAGCCCTACTATAATGCACTGCTAATATTAATGTTTAATCTATAATTAGATAAGCAGTCTCAGACTTCACTTGGTCTGCATGGTTAATTCCGTGCTCAAAGAGAACATTTTTATAAAAACCCAGCTAAATATTTTAACAAGATTGCATGTACAAAAGATTTACATTAAAACCACAAAAAGCTAACTTCATAATTAAGCTCCTCAAAACCTGTATTAATATTCCAAGTGATCACATCTAGAATTTTGAACCATGTTTAAAACTGTACATCATTTTCTTGTAATATACATCTCTTTAAAAGATCAGTCTCTTGATTATTACAATAAGTTTAGTGTCTCTGGTGGGTCAACAAGCGATACTCCATGGTACCTAGAGGGGGGAAAAAAAAAAAAAAAGATGCAGGATGTCATCTTGCTCAAGTGCTCTCTGCCATGAAGAACAGCATACATACTGCAGCAAAGCACATTTCTCACAAGGCGAGGAAACATCTGGGGGCTTGTCAGCTAGATGCCAACACAGATTTTTAGGAGCATTAGGTACCACCCACCTCCTGCCCACCAACTGTAGGAACATCAAGAACATTCCTCCAGTTTCTACCCCACAGTTCAGGTAGTAATAGCACAGGCCTGGTGGTGAACACAAAGTATTGCTCAACAAAACATTGTGCAAAAACCTGGGGAGTCTTGCCACCATTTCACTTAGATGGTAGATTTGGTTACTTGAGTCTGACTGAAGACTCAAGATACACCCCGCCTCGTTAAGCGGTTACCTGCTAGGACAACTTGGGCGTAACGTACCATCTTACCATAACATCTCTACAGATACTCACTTTGTACTCTTGTACTTTTCCCTTATGGACTGTTGTGTGTGCTGTGCTGCTTTGAGGTAGGTCTTGTGTAGGTCCACGAGGCAAGGCTTGATGTCTTCAAGGGTGTAGCCTGTTACTTTGCACAGGGATTCAGGCTGACGGAAAAAGGAAAGGGGGGAGGGACATTTGAAGTTTTTCTGTTTGCTCATGCTGATGACCACTGGTGGAGTTTTTAGCTTCCTGTTGAAACTATTGTTCTAGTAGCTTGGCAGAGTGTCATTTTCTCAAGCACAAAGTAATTTACTACTCACCCTTCAGATTTTTGCAGTTCACATAGGTTTACAGTAATCCTGCAAACTATCATATTCTAAACAAGTATTCCTAGCCTCCAGTGCTTAGGCTTTCTTACTGCCCCCTTCCTCATCACAAGGAAGCTGTTTACAGCTTTGAGGAGGATCACCAAAAGGGAGTGCATCAATAGATGCCTCTTCCTTCCAAGAAAAGGTGTCGCCCCCTCCCCACCCCATTTTTCAAATACCATAGGGAGCAAACCCTAATTAACGGCCTAGGAGTGCAGGGGGGCTGCGATTCCTGCAGCCCAGCCCCCAGCATTCAGAACCACGTACGAATACACTAAACACGCATAAAGGTGCACAAAGATTCAAGTTTTAGTGCTACGTACCCAGGTTTGTCCAGTGATCGTATAGCTTGCTAGATGAAATGCTGCAGCAGCAATAACTGATGGCAAGTATTTCAAGTAAGGATCAGCATCGATTAGACTCAGCTCCCCAAGGTACTGCAAGGGGAAACGAGAGAAAGGGAATCATCTCCTTCCAAAAGGAAGTAGAAGAGCATTCAACAGTTGCACTAGAACCCTGATCTTTAAGCTTCCAATCCTGC